CGACATCGCACCAGAGGAACAGTACTCGAGACTACTTCCACGACGAAAATTTATGCAAGATTCTAAAACGTCTCTGCCCTGTTCGTCAAGAATTATCAGTACTCAACTAGCATAGCATCGTCTTCTGTCCTAATAAATTCAAGGTTCACTCGCGGTTCGTCACGTTTCGTGTTATAACAATTGTAGGTGAAAATCAGTTACTCTTGTTGGACAAGCATGAGCCGAGATCATCCAGAAAGTAGCAAGTTCGATAAGTCCTGCCGCCATAACTTGTTAAAATTGCTGATTTTCTATCCGGAAACGGACAACAATGACGCGTGGCGTAGGAGCGGAGCCAAGTATAATCTCGCGGCACGGATTATTGAGCACGTTCGGCGCAAGTTCGTTTCCGTTTGCCACGGATAAACCAATAAACTCTAACTTCATTTAGAGTAAACTCTTACGAGGTCCACGCCTGTATTCCACTTGGCCGGTGATTTCGCCCGTTCGGAAATCTCGTTTTGCCCGGCGGTGAACGAGCCGATTAAAAGTTTCGTCGCTGTAAGGAACTTTTGTATCCATATTCCCGCGGACCGCAAACGGTTCCGGCGGCAACACTACTATCGATCGGGGCCGCTTTTCGCCGAACCGCTTCACTATTTATACAACATACTTTCCCGGTAACCAGCTGCATTATAAATCTCCGCGACACAATGAAGCCCGATTCGTGACGCGGCGCCGACGGAACGGAGAGAGCCAGGGCAAACTCTTGAATAAAACGGCCACCGACAATGAGCAGTATAAATAATTGATCCTCGGAGCTAACTTTTCGATGGATCCTAACTAGCTACCAGGCTTTTCTTTGATATAATCGATTCGAGATTCCTGTTAGAAACTGTGAGCGTGGAATTGGTCCCAGTGAATCGAGACGAGAGGTGGGCGGGACAACATCGGTCGTAAAGTTTGTCGTTTCCGGTCCGAAAGCGTCCGTCACGGCTCCGCTTGAATATTGACGCGGTCTTCACGTTTTTTTCAAAACGCCTCCGCCCGGCTTTTGAAACCGAGACAAGTTATTCCTCTGGCTGTTCGTTGAAACAATTGGCGGCGTTATCTCGGGCAAAATCTCGCCCCATCGAAATACCCGGCGCGGAATGGTTGATTCGGCTGCTAACCTCTTCCTCTGGTCGCGGTTTCGAGCGGAGACAGTTTCCTGGCGACACCGCACCACGGCCCGATTCGTTTGCACGGTCTGCAGTTCATTGCGGGGCATGAATAAAACCGCTCGCCGAATAGCATCGTCGACGGATTCCCGGATAAAATTTTACAGGCACCTGTAAAAGTTTATGTAACAATCGATTCGCGGCGGGCATTCGCAAAAATTTTACACCGAGACTTTCTCGCAGTTGGAAACATCTACGCAACGCCATACTGCAGTCTCAAGTATTTTCAAATGTATAGAATGCATTTGATCTGCATGGCGAAATTGTTTAACGAAAAGACACGATGTCGCCTGATATCAAGTGAATTTGATCTACGGAACAATAATTTTCCGATAGAATTGAATTAGTGAATAAACAAGAACGTGAGATTGAACGAAATGGCAAAAGTTTCTCGTAACTAGTAGCAATAACATGAATCCGGCTAATGAAAGCGACAGAGCACTTAAACTTGGGTAAAATTTCACCGGGTACCGAGTTGCAATTCACGAAACGTAGTAAGAAAGAAAGTTTCGCACGCGAGCGTAACGTGGTCGGGAAAGAAAAAGCGAAGAAAGGATGGAAAGCTTTGCCAATTAGGAACTCGGTTACCCCACTCGCTCCCATCTTCCTCTTTTTTTCATTTAACTCCACGCCGAATATTCTTTGACTAACGACTACCGCCTAATAGACGTTGATGCTGACAAAAAAGGCGGAACAAACGGGCGAGCACTACCTTTTAAACGGTACACTTTTTCGATACGGTTGCACGGTTTCGAAGAATGCTCGAGATTGATGGCGTGTGCTGAGAAAACAGCCACTGCTATCTGCGAAGCGTGTCCAGAACACGTGTAGACACTGCAACCTTCAATGAAGAGCGGTCTTTAATTTGCTGTAATGACAAAGAGCTGGTGTTCGTGAGCGTCTTTAAAAGCAAACGCTGAAGTAGACAAACTCAATCTGATGTCGAACAAAACGGGAAGACCCGTTGAATGAGGTTTCCTCGAGCTAGTGATTACTCCAGGTTAAAAATAACACGCTACTTTTTATATGTTTGTATTACTCATGCGCAAGCATTGTGCATATAGTATATGTAAAAAATACAGAATCGCTATTAAATTATTTATAATGCAGTATAAAATCTTCATGAAATTGAGAATTGAAGAATGAGAAACTGCGAGTCGGAGGTAGAGAATTGGCAAGGAAACGGAGAATGTGGATTCATTGTAAATCTGTAGAAGTACTCCGACATAGCGCAATCAGAGATCGTAACAATGACGCATTATGCTCCGTATTCCTCATTATTCTCCCTCGAACATGATACAGATAAGAAATCTCTCTTTTACGTAATCCAGAATTTCGATGGAACCTCGTTTCAGGATGGAGAATGTATTCTCATTTTCAAAGTCGATACACCATCCACTGTACATTGAAGTAACGCTTCGAGCATCCTATCACGAGATTATGAAAGTAACCATTTAAGAAATTAACTATTTGATTCTATTAAAAGATCCTTTGTATGAATTCGAACAGATCAAAGATTAATCGAAGTCTGACGATCGACTTGGTAGCAGCTTCTAGGAAACATGGTAACGAATTTTGGCCGGTATCCACTGTCGTCGTCATTACCCGCATTGTGCGTGGATGAAAGGTGCCGTGAACGTTAATTATCCCCGCCTTTCTGGCACGAAACTGGGATTACGGAAGGGTACAATAAAATTTTGGCGATGCCGCGTGCCAAAAATATGTGCCCGACGTATAACCGAGCCTGGGCTATATTTAATTAATCCATCGCGTCGACTATACCATAGGTATTCATCGAGGAATATCCGCGTGGACGCGCGTTTGTCGAAAATTTTCATTCAGCCGCGCTCCCGTTTCAATATAATACAGTAATTTCGCACGCATCTCTCCCCCTTCGCGCCGCGCCCGTCTCGTTCGTTCCTTCTTCGCAAATACGTTGAATATCTGCTTCGCGTCGTTAGCGAGTTTCACCGTGAAATCGAATTTTGTTCAAAGTATTATTAAAAACGAGCATTCAAGACTTTCATTAAATTCAATCGCGTTACGCGAAACCAATAATCTATTAATTTCATTGTCACCGAAATTCCGCTCGGTCAAACTTCATTATACATCTTCTTTTAGCCTTGACTTCAAGTGAACTGCAAAGATTATGGTTATCGGCCTCGTTCTCTTCGTTGATTCTGAATTCAAACAATCGCAGTACGCATATGCACCTCGTATTATACAATATGTAAATTGTTTTGCTAAATCGTAGAGCAACTGCAGAATGGAATGTTTTTCTTAATTAAATCACTGTAGGACTGTTGTATAAAATGTAAACACAGCGTAGCATAAAATTTTCATTTCACGTTTAAACTCCATTGCACCAAATTATACTAACAATAAGTAAAGTGTCTCGTGAAAGTTTATATTTTATATATTATATATATTATGTTTATAAAGAAATAATAAATTTCTCAAAAGGAATTATTCACTTTTCCTGTTAAACGGCTTCAAAGTAATAAAATAATGTTTCTTTTCAGTCTCAATCAGATTAAATCTGCATTTTAATATACATAGAATAAATATATTAATCACAAACTTGTAATAAGCGAACATACTGTTTTTGGTTAAAATTTTTGATTGCTAATCGTGTCGTAAATTTAATCGTGCACTAACGCTTATCAATCGTTGTATTTATCTGTATTACGTACTCGTTGAAATTGATGTCCGTGCCGGACCTATACCGAGCTCCATGGTGTCCCTTGATAGTCATTAATCCACTTAAGTAGGTCATCTACCTGAATAGAGCGCCCGTCAATTATAGCCGTAAATTGTAATTAATAACCAAGCGAATTGCCGTAGTTGCGTTAACAATAACTTAAGATATCTGGCAATTTTATATCTAATTAAATTAAATTAAAAAGGATTTGCTGCGTGTTGTAAACATACAATATTAAATAATTAGGATAATTCTGAATGAAAATGAATTTCCTATTAACAGTCTAACATAGTTCTATGCAGGAGAATTCCTTGGGAGGCTAGAATTGATCCAAGGATATCGATTCTTGCAATAGCGTGTAGGTCATTCAACGTTGAGTAAAATTAGAATTATTCGTGCCCTAGAAAATACTGTAAAATATTACAGACATATTTTTCATACTCCTCGAATTAAATATTGTTCCGTATTTACTTTCTACGTGTATTCGCAGACAGGTGTCATAATTAACACAGTGGACTATTACATTATAAAGTACGACTGATGTAATTATTAACGGTACTCGGCATTTCGCGGTGCCTCCATGAAAAGAACGAAAGATAACTCGTTCTCTCTCTCTCTCTCTCCCTCTCTCTCTCTCTCTGATCCTTTTTGCCTCGTAGATCTGTTTCCTTTTGGACCTAATATTCTCGTTTTGCCTTCTGGCCACTATTTTTCGTTCTCCATGAATTCTTTCCGTCCATAAATAATTCAGGTGCTCGGGACGTCGTAAAGACATTAACGAAGGTAAAAGCTTTTAAGGGCGGACGTTCCAGTTGAATCCTGAACTCATTATGCGGCTCTTACGATAATAACTTGCAATCTGTACCGACCAACAGTCTATTGTCCACTGATACACGGTACTTACGTCTTTTTTAATATCTCATTAGTTTAACTCCACGACAACAAAAGTTCTTCTCATCTTTATATAAACCAAAGGACAGAAAAATGAGAAAAGAATATATCTTTTATATAATTATTCTCTTATATTGTAATTAGATGTTAAACTATTTTTAATCTTAATAAACGGATGCATAATGTCTGTTGTTATATTTATTTTTCAGATTCTGACTCGCCCAGGTTTGCCGAGGAAATTCAAAACGTGACTGTAAGCAAAGGTCGGAATGCGATGTTAGCATGTATAGTGGACAATCTACGAAACTATAAGGTAATATTATAATTAAAATTACCATGTTCCGTTTCCATAAGAGAAAATTACTAGAGAAATAACATGATTCTTGGAAATAAGAATAAATAGGTTTCGTTACGGTTATTTTGGTTATAAAGTTCACCTACGATGATAGTAACTTCCGTTCAGTGACTAATAAAGAGATAAGAATTTCTTATACTGCGATTTGAATTCTAATTTATAAATTCTTGAAGTCTCAATCAGATTAAATCTGCATTTTAATATACATAGAATAAATATATTAATCACAAACTTGTAATAAGCGAACATACTGTTTTTGGTTAAAATTTTTGATTGCTAATCGTGTCGTAAATTTAATCGTGCACTAACGCTTATCAATCGTTGTATTTATCTGTATTACGTACTCGTTGAAATTGATGTCCGTGCCGGACCTATACCGAGCTCCATGGTGTCCCTTGATAGTCATTAATCCACTTAAGTAGGTCATCTACCTGAATAGAGCGCCCGTCAATTATAGCCGTAAATTGTAATTAATAACCAAGCGAATTGCCGTAGTTGCGTTAACAATAACTTAAGATATCTGGCAATTTTATATCTAATTAAATTAAATTAAAAAGGATTTGCTGCGTGTTGTAAACATACAATATTAAATAATTAGGATAATTCTGAATGAAAATGAATTTCCTATTAACAGTCTAACATAGTTCTATGCAGGAGAATTCCTTGGGAGGCTAGAATTGATCCAAGGATATCGATTCTTGCAATAGCGTGTAGGTCATTCAACGTTGAGTAAAATTAGAATTATTCGTGCCCTAGAAAATACTGTAAAATATTACAGACATATTTTTCATACTCCTCGAATTAAATATTGTTCCGTATTTACTTTCTACGTGTATTCGCAGACAGGTGTCATAATTAACACAGTGGACTATTACATTATAAAGTACGACTGATGTAATTATTAACGGTACTCGGCATTTCGCGGTGCCTCCATGAAAAGAACGAAAGATAACTCGTTCTCTCTCTCTCTCTCTCCCTCTCTCTCTCTCTCTGATCCTTTTTGCCTCGTAGATCTGTTTCCTTTTGGACCTAATATTCTCGTTTTGCCTTCTGGCCACTATTTTTCGTTCTCCATGAATTCTTTCCGTCCATAAATAATTCAGGTGCTCGGGACGTCGTAAAGACATTAACGAAGGTAAAAGCTTTTAAGGGCGGACGTTCCAGTTGAATCCTGAACTCATTATGCGGCTCTTACGATAATAACTTGCAATCTGTACCGACCAACAGTCTATTGTCCACTGATACACGGTACTTACGTCTTTTTTAATATCTCATTAGTTTAACTCCACGACAACAAAAGTTCTTCTCATCTTTATATAAACCAAAGGACAGAAAAATGAGAAAAGAATATATCTTTTATATAATTATTCTCTTATATTGTAATTAGATGTTAAACTATTTTTAATCTTAATAAACGGATGCATAATGTCTGTTGTTATATTTATTTTTCAGATTCTGACTCGCCCAGGTTTGCCGAGGAAATTCAAAACGTGACTGTAAGCAAAGGTCGGAATGCGATGTTAGCATGTATAGTGGACAATCTACGAAACTATAAGGTAATATTATAATTAAAATTACCATGTTCCGTTTCCATAAGAGAAAATTACTAGAGAAATAACATGATTCTTGGAAATAAGAATAAATAGGTTTCGTTACGGTTATTTTGGTTATAAAGTTCACCTACGATGATAGTAACTTCCGTTCAGTGACTAATAAAGAGATAAGAATTTCTTATACTGCGATTTGAATTCTAATTTATAAATTCTTGAACAAAAACATAATTTCTTGTGTTTTCTTCGTTCCGTTTCTATTCACATTTTAAACTCTGTACATATAGACAAATGTTAACAAAAAGGAGATTCATTTAATGAAATTTTGCAAAGTACGGCGTACGCGTCTACGCGCTCATCTTGATTACGCTTTACAAAACTCTTCTGCGAAAAGAATTATGTTCCCATGTACCAGCATATTTTAATTTTCGTCAGAATTTTTCTTTTTTCCCACATATGTGTTACGATTATGCCAGTATCCCAGCAATTAAAACTTCTTCCATCTCCTGCGTTAAATATTTTCTTATATGAAAATATCCGCTGTTTTAATTACAGAATGTATCGACATTTTTGTACACAAAAAATTAGGTGAAGGTAGTATAATTCGTTTTGCCACCGTGTAATTGAAGTCGATCTAAAAGTGAGTCGCATTCTACTTTTTCCTTCTATTTACAAACAGTCGCAGATGTGAATAAATCGTATAATAAGCGAGTTTCAGATGAAAGCATAATGAGAGTTTTGTGGTGAAACTTCGTTTCCGAAATTCGCACAAAGTTAAATAATCTCGCATCGCCCACGGACAAATAAGCCCGCGGCAGAAGTGTTTCATTAAAGCAAAGCTTTTTTTACGGTCTTGAGAATTTCGCACGCGGAGGCAAGCGGACTAAACAGAGGAGGAGCGAAGGAAGCTGGTCGATGGTAATTCTAGCCGTGACTCGCAACAACGTCAATTCCAGCCGGCTGGCTCGTTCGTTACGCCAATGGAAATACATCACGGGCCGTGTCACGTTGAATTATTAAAGTAATACGGTAACGACGCCGCGCCGCCGGTCCACATGATTCCCCGTCTAGCCGATCTGGTATACTTTGCACGCGTAAAGAAGCATCGCGTCTCGAGCTACCCTCCGTCTTGCCTCTTCACCCTGTCTATTTCTCTGGGGTTGATATTCCCCAGGTAGAGTTACCAGCAGGAACAAGAAACATGCGCCTCCGGTAAAAATTATCGCCGGCCCGCTTCTTAACGCCCCTGGAATATCGTAATTCCTACCCGGAGACGTCAAACGGATGAAGAATTTGCGTAAACGTATATATCTACCCGTAGTTGGCTGAGTTGCGAGACTTTTTTAACTTTCCAGGTTGATACAAATCGTGAAACGTTTTTATACTCAGATCGACTTCTTCTGCTTTTATATCTTCTGTCTTGAATTTGAGGTTTGAAAATGGTCTCATTAATAATTAACATAGAACTAGACCTTTAGATCGTTTCGTACATCCTTTTCCTATTGTGTGTCTATTTCAATATAAAGATTTATACACAATGTATTGTCGCCTGTCTCTGTCGTGTTGTACTGGATTCAGCTTGAAAATTATCTTATTAATAGTTAACACAGAAGCGCTAGAGCTTTGGATCATTTGGTACAGCTTTTTCTTCTTGTGTGTCTATTTCAATATAGAGATCTATAGACTGTCAATGTATTGTCGTCTATCCCTCGAGTATAGAAAGCTTAGCGATGAAGAAAAGAAAATGGGGTGGATTCTAAGCCTTCTTATACTTACCCCTACATTCGCCGTACTCCGTAAAGGTTTCGAAAATCCACGGGAGATACGGGATACAAGCCAGCCTTTGTATTGGATTAAGCGAGCGATAAGAACAAAACGACGTTACATGGGATGCCCAGGACTCACCGAGAATGGTACTCCGGGTCGAGTTGATCGATAATGTACGCACGAACGATTCTACGTTTCGGGAGTTCGTTGAAATTGAAAAGATCGTCGATAACTTTTAAGAATCAGTTGGAAAAATTCATTTGTGAATTATTCAGTAAAATGTATCGTATTAAGTATTTAACTGTCAGATTTTATGGAATAAACGTTTAAGGCTGTTGCGGGGAAGACGAAGCGAAGACCGTAAAGCAATTAAATCTCGAATTTCCTCCTAGCATAGTGACCTACAAAAATATCGCGTTAAGGAAACTATGACGACGTTATCATCGATCGCATAACAGGGGAAGTTCATTACTCCTTTCCCTGGTATATTACATTTTCCTCACTTTCCTCGAGATTGAATCTTTGTCGAATAAAAAGGTGAGAATTCTTCAATAGCACACAAGATGAAATCGTTTTCATTTTTCGTTACTTATTAAATCAGAATGCGTCTAATAGAGAGTATAAAAATTTTCTTATATAAATAGCACTGTCTATCAATTCTCCTAGAATCCATTTTTCATACACTATTTAACTAACTTACAGGATTTATGATCAAGGAGATATTTTAATGAATCCATTATTTTACATGATCGTTCCTATCGATACTCTGTATTTTATTTATACTTAATTACATGATTAAATCTAAACGCGAACTCTGACAGTACATATCCGAATCCGAAATGAATTTCGATTTAATTCCACTACATCACTATGTAAGACGTTCCTTGTATTAATCTCGCGTAGCAAATCTTCGTGTTGCTGTTCCGCAAGTACCTCCCGATTATACTAATCCCTTCCTCGGCATTTCAATGAACCACGTTTGATCATTAGCACCAAAGCTGCTTACAAAATATATGCGAGACGCAAGGAATAACGAACCTTGCACTTGTTAAGTCACGCAATGCCGCTTTGTCTCAGTTGAGAATAAGAGTTATATTATTCAATACGTTTCAACGGTTACTTATATAAAGCGAAATGATGTGATTATGATTAATTATAAGGCACGGCGTAGATTTCGTGAAAGAAAATTGGTGAAACTGACGTCTAAATAGCTGTAGCAAAATTTTTTAATAAGCTAAGTAATGAAGCTGATTTCCAAGTGACGAAGATAAATCGTTTCCCCTATATAAGGTGTACATGTAGAACTTTCCAGTGGCTTACCTCCATTAACTGCTGCCATTTTCTGGCCAATATTTTTTTTCACCGCAATGTTAAATACATTCACGCTAAAGGAATATTTATTAAAACCCTAATTAATTCTTGTACTCTTTCAATAATCGTAAAAGAAATTATTAATGGATTTAGATAATAAAAAATGTATAATATAAATATTATAGTCTTCGAAATGTTTCAATTTATGTTGGTATAAAATACAAGAAACTGCTCTATTATATTTTCTGATATTATTTTAGTACCAATATAAAAGGCATTAAGAAAACTTTCGATGTAATATCAGAAACATTACCTGCTTTATCCTATCCCATTTTGAAGAAACATCAGGTACTTTATCCTGAGCAAACTTGGAACACTTTTCGGTGGTGTTTGTTTTAGGTGGCATGGGTGCGCGTCGATACACAGACTATCTTGTCCATCCACCATACCGTGATCACGCAAAACCCGCGGATCTCGTTGACGTACAACGACCATCGTACTTGGTACCTCCACATACAAAAGGTCGAGGAAACGGATCGTGGGTGGTACATGTGTCAAGTGAACACGGACCCGATGAGGAGTCGACAGGGCTACGTACAGGTCGTTGGTAAGTTCGATTATTATAAATTAAATATAAAATACCAAAAGAAATATTGATCTCTCTTCGATTAAAAAAGATATCTTTAGTTTTTTCAGAAATAAAATTGATTCACATTACTTAATAATTCGTTGATGAATTATAAATATTTAATATTGTGGAACGATAAATAGAAATGTGAATTATTTACTCTTGATGATTCTTAGAATTTAAGGAGCGTCAGATGAAACTTGTAAAAAATTAAACAAGCTGTCAATGGCTAATCAGACGCGAAACTTGGAACACTGTAAAAGCAATTAGGCGCCTAGTATTAGTCAGCACGATTCAGTTAGCCTTTGAAACAATTAGGTTTCCGGTTAGTTGCGAAACTGGGTTAGAAGTCATCAGGCATCCGATATTCAATCAGCAACCGACGTGCTTAAACTTCCATAAGATTAGCAAGGAATTTGCTTCGAATTACGATTGGAAAATGTTAATAATAGATGATGATTATCCTTAAACAGTAAAGTGTCTATCCGGAATTTTCAAGTTTACTCAAAATAATGCAGGAACACGATACTTGTATTAAAATGTAACACGAGCCGTCAGAAATTCTACGTGCAATCTGAAATATTAAAGAAATTTTTGTATAAACAACGAGTGGTAAAAAAAATAGAATGATTCGAAACTCTTTCACACTTGAAATATTCATCATGCTATTCAACTAGTTTTGAATTACTGCTGTTGGATTGTCAAAAACGAGCGTACGCAGTTGAGAGTGTCAGCTACCGATGTAAAATAAACTTTCAAATTCCGAACATACTCTTTTTGGTCCAAAAAAAAATATTCCACTTTTATGCATTTTTTATCCGTATCGCTCTCTTGTAAAAGCAAAAAGCACATGATTCACTGTCGGCTATGTTTAACGCATTAGTATGAACGATACATGGCTCTTCCCAACGGTGTATTCAAATTCTCTCCTCGTTTTAATTATTGCAGTGCCGCCTAGTATTATTACAAAGGAAACCAGTACAGATATGGTCGTCCGCGAGGGTTCGAACGTAACATTAACGTGTAAAGCCACTGGATATCCAGAACCTTACGTGATGTGGCGTAGAGAGGACGGGAAGAAGATAAACTACAACGGTGAAAGTGGTGAGTTTTAATTTGATCCTCTGTTAATTTTATTAACATAGACACGTTATCATATAAATAGAAAAATTATGAATAAAACGCAATGAATTATGCATCGGTATTAGTAATTGCATAGGATATTCGTAATTAATTATTGGTGGACAACTACAATCGATGCTTAATTATTCATGAATCCAATATGTGTATCAACCTCATATTGTGAAACTCCGCAGCGTAATGTATTCAAGAGTCGAATCGCCGTTTCCGGATAGTTTTCAGTTTGACAATCGATGGTCGAACGGATATACGTGGTCCCGGTTCGCACACGTCGTATCGCTTTTTCAAGTACTACTACGTAAAGTACACACGGCTAAAACGATTCTTCTTTTCCGTGTCAAACTTGCACAGAGCTTATATTCACTTCGCTCGCATTCAACGTTTGACTACTTACTTCGATAAGTTCACAATGTATCATTCATGGAACAAGAAACGGTTAAATAATGAATGAATCAACTCTTTTATGCCATGAAATAGCAATAACTGAACAAATTGATTTATAATAATATCACGTATGAATTAATCTTACAATCAGTGTTCATTGATCTAAGTGGTTATGGGCAGCATTGAAA